ATTATGTGGCCGCTTGGGAAAAAAAGAAGAATTAGACCAGATGACCCGTCGACGCCTGAACTTTTATTGTCTAGGAAAGGTAATTGGTGGATTTGCTAATACGATATGACCAAATGAATGATTTCTGAACACAAAAAACTTGCAAACCGCGGAAATTCAGGCAAGCAGAAAAATAATTTTTGGAGCAAGACGAAGAAAAGAAGAAGAAAATAGTAGTTACAACTAGCTCATCGTTTAGGGAGTACTAGTTTTTGGGGCTGGAATAGGGAGAAAAAAACGGGAGTGACGCTCTCTCTCTCTCTCTCAGTTGTCCAGTTTTCTTCATCTTCTTCCTTCTATTTTCTTCTTTTTTCCCTACTTTTTCTTTCGCTTCGACTATTTTGCTCTTTCTTTTTCTCGTGCATTTTGCATGATGTAAGCAAATCGAAGGCGTCTATGTATGCGCTTGTCTAACAGCTTTTTCACCACTTTCTTCATCTTCCTTCAATGGCACACACTCATTTCGTTCAGTTTGAAAAAGATTAGGGCTTTTAGCAGCAAAAAATGCGAAATATTTGGAATTTAGTGAATTGAAATCTAACAATCTCTGTTGGATATCAAGAACACAAAATTATACGCCAAGAATAAGAAATTTGAAAACCATATGTTCGAAAAAAAAGTTTTCTAACCAATCATTGAAAAATCAAGAAAAGTTTTGAAATTTTAGACATTGAAACTGCTTAGTTTTGAGAATTCTGATTTCGCTATTGACCAAGAAACGAAATATGAAAAAATGAAGAAATTTGGAAATTGAATACGATTTTTCTGCTCTGCTCTGGAAGTTATCGGACACGAAAATACAATTGTTTTTTTTTATTTCATAGAAGGCTCTGATAGCAAAAGTATAGAGAGATCTAACAAACTAACAAAAATTCGATTTTTTCGAAAAATTCAAAAAATGAGTTACACCGGACCAATTTCTGAAAAATTAAACTTTTCTAATTTTCAGGATTTCATACCAATCTTTCGTTTTCAATTCTATTTTTAATCGAATACAAACTTTCAGAAAAGAAGATGAACTATGATGACACAATTTCATACACGCTGAACTAATACACCTGGATTATACTTCAATGGGGATTAGCCAAGTACGAGGAGATCTACACGACGTTTAATGTCACTGATACAAATAAGCTGTTCATGTTCTGTGATTTTTGGGGAAAACAGAAAATCAGAGATTCAAACTCTTCCTTCTGCTCCGACTCCTTTTTCTCCGCCTTCAGATATTTTTTCAAGGGTCCTTTGTCGAACTCATGCGTCAAGAGTTGACAACTCAAGAGAGCAAAATAAAAATATAACAAGTGACGTTTTTCTCCTATCCTCTAAACTTCTGTCTCTTTTCCCTTTCTAACCCATAAAAAGAAAGAAATAGTATTTTTTTTTTCGGAACAAAAAGAGAAAAACGTAGGAAAGTTTTTTTCCAAAAATGACGTGGAGCTTTTTCTAACTTTTGGATTGTATGAGAAGGATTTGGGTCGGGCAGCAAGACAAAAAAGGAACAAAGTAGACAACTGGGAGGGATGAGACAGAAACAACCAAAAAGTAGAAGGAAAAAAAGAACGTTGAGGCTCAGCTGGTGCGGACCCATCTGACTGTGTTTTTCTGTCGGGCGGGTTGTTAGGTTCACGGAGTCTAGAACGTCAGAAGGAGGGCCGTTTTCTTGAGAACATTGACTACTGACGTAGGAGATTGATGCAGAAATATCGAGAAAATGGAATTCAATAAATGTTTTGATAACTCTCGAAGCTAGATACTGTAGTTACAACACAAGCGCAATTTAAACACTACAGTGCGCTACTCGTAGAAAATTCAATACTACAGTGCGCTACTCGTAGAAAATTCAATAAAATTCTAGTTTGAAGATTGAAAAAATGGACAACTCCGGAGTAATGATTTTTCTAAGCTCTGAACCTTATTCTAGAGTTGTTTTGAAGGGTGGCGTACTTATTCTGAATCAAATGAAGTTTTAGGTCACACCTTCTAAGACCTAACATTGTCATGAAACTCGGAAAAGCTTATTTCTTTTTTCAAACGGTTTTTGTTAGCTAGATAAAAAAGACAAACAACGACTGTTTTTTTCAGAGTAGCGTTTCAGACTATTGACGTTTCATACCTTTGGAAAACAATTTCGGAATAATGCTTAGCCTTCTGATCATTTGAAGCAAAAAAAAACCCCAGGAAATGGTCGTGATTTAGTGAAATTCCGCCGATTTTTGCACCGATATAACAGCTCGATTATGTTCAGAGAAAAAATTGATAATGGATAACCCATTATACAACAAAACGAGGTGCTATGTGGCTTCCACTAGCTTAATGAAAGAACACCAATTCATTCATCTAGCTGATGGTTTATGAATTATTGATGAGGAAAAAGCCAGCACTTGCGTATTGATCTCATATTATTTCGACATCAACATATTAGATATTCCATATCTAAATTTTGTTGTTGTTCTCCTAAAGAGCGGACCAAACATTCATAACCAACTAAAGATCTACAGAAATCCGCTAAAAGGACACGAAAAGAAAAAGACAAGAAGGAAAACGGGATGAAAGGATGTTTGTTCCTTGAAAAAACTAGCTACACTTTCTCATTTTTTTCCGTTTTTCTTCGTTTTAAAAACCCCAGATTTTCTTTTTCTCTACTCACGAAAATGTGTCCGACTAAACCCGATTACCCAACATGCCATTTGGGACGCCGAACGTCAAATTCGATTATTCAGGCGAGCAAACGGTCCCCACACGCGACAACACATCATGAGAAGACACAGCCTACAGGAGCCGCATAAGAAGACGTCGGAAAACGCTTTTATTTTCGATAAATTAGATCCGGATAGTGACGGCGGTGTCTTCAGACAAGTGGTGGGTGCCAGTCGGCAAAAATCTGAGTTGTTTGGTGGCTCCTTGAGCCGAGGGAATTACTACAAAAAACAAGAATCTATAAAAACAACGATTTTTCTTCACTTTGCAAAAAGTTTGAAAACAGTGTCGAAGAAAAACAGAGGAGCCTATAAATTCTTGTTCTTTTGGCTCTGCCTTGAAAAATATTTTGGTGTAATTTAAGATTTTTTCAAACGTTTGAAATGGCTCTCCGAAGAATTGGAAAATTTATGTTCGAAAAAATTGAAAGGGGTTTTTTTGATGAAAGCCGACTAGATAGTGGTCAAAATAAGGTGCATAACTAGAGTTTCTTTTTGATTTTTGAAATGCAAACTTTGAAGAGAGAGGAAAACTAGTTAAACTATTTTTCAATTTTGAATAATTTGCTGTTTCACGCTCAAAACAAATGAAACTCTGAAACGTTTTTTCGGAAAATCAAAAATTGTTTTAAAAAACATACAAAAATTCGTTTAGTTTTGCAGACTTTATTGGAGGCGCATAAAACTGGAATTATTCAAAAATCGAGAAAATTAGAAAAAATCGAGTTTCGAAAATTCTCTGCAAATTTTTATAAATTAAGTCAACCTTTCTATGAAAGAAATTATTATTAATACTTTTTCTACAAAAAAGACGCTTCTTTTTTTCAGGAATCACTGAAAAATGGCCCAAAAATAGGTTTTTCGCAAAATAATGTTTTTCTTCAAATTTCGCTACGAATGAAAATTTTTAGAGAAAGAGAAACAAAAACTCGGCACCAAAATTGTTCTTAGGACCTGTTGTTTTGGGTACACACTACTTCCGACATATCAGAAAAATAGACGAGGATTATTTCTTGGGATGGTGGTCTCTTTCTTTTTTTCTAGTCATAAATAATTCAGACAAAGACTCTCGTTTCTTGAGTTTCATGCATCTTGTCATTCTCGATTTTATTATATACTGGTAGTCAACACTAGTCTTCTTCTTTTTCTCTTCCTATCCTACTCTTATCATTCATAATTCCTTTTTCTCTCTCTTTCTCATTCTCTCTCTCTCTCACTCACTCTAGAGAGTTATCCAAAAAAAAGCACGAGTAACTAATCTTTTATACTTTCATGATGAGTTGTGAATAGATGAGAGTCACCGAGCCGTGTTGCTTCTGACTCTTCCCATTTTCTCTTTTCATTGCTCCCATAGTTACACCTTCTCGTTGTCTTTTTCGTCTTCTTTTTTAATTGAAACCTTATTCGTTCTGAAACAAGACGAAACAAAAAAGTCTATACATACCCTGCGCCGCCGTCACGCCGTCTTGTCGCTGTCTCCGATCGCCCTCTAGTCGTTCTTTTTTGTGACGAAAGATGAATATTGTAGATAAAAAGAATGTCGGCTACTGTACTTGTATTTTCAACACAAAATACAACGTTTCGATGATTGTGTGGAGGTAAAAGAGCCGAACCTTCATTGAGTATTCTAATATTGCCCGATGAGAGACTATAGGAAATGAGGAGGTGTTAGAGACTCCCTCTACCCGTTTCTCTACCCTGTCTTCCATTTGCACAATCCCTCTTGTTTGTCTCTTTTTCTTTCCGTCCACAGTTATACCCCCGTCGTTTACGAAACAGGCGGTGCGGTCTGCCTGTCCGCCTGCGAATCAAACAGCACCACCCGCGAATTTGAATGCGGAAAGAAGTGGGAGGCGAACGACGCGGGACACTCAGCGGAAGACCTATAGAAAGGCGACAGAGGAAGCCGTTGTGTCTCGAGAGTATTGGCCGCTCGCCGTTGCCAAGTGACCGCGTTGAGTTATTAGAGAGAGGGCGGCGAGAGACGACTGCGCCGATTTTAAATGGAGAGTAGATATAGAAAAAGAATGAAAAGCTGAGAGTGTAGCGATGTTGGAGAGCCGACATCAAAGGCACGCTGTGGTTTTTCCAAAAAGTGCGAGATAGAAGGTTTCGCCTTTTTAGTGCTGTCCCTTCCTCCACACCGCAAATTGCAGTCGACTCAAAAAGCAGTATAGCCAGAGATTTGTTTGGCTAGGTTACTCGACATGCACAACTACTGCCTATTACTGTACTCACATTGAAATTTATCCCCAATATTATTGAATGGCAATGCAAAAACAACAACTTACGGTATGTGCTAGTATATTCTTTTAGAGTTGAGCTATCAAAAAATTACTGTAATAAGAACATTAGAATGGAATTACGATGCCATCATTTTATTACTTATACGTGGACGCTCGAGAAATCATCAAACAAATTGAACTATGAAAAAACAAACATACACCGCTTTGAGCTTAGTTGTCTAAGTTTCTGTAAGAGTTATCCCAAATCTGTGCATTAACAAAATGGTGGTGAAAATACAACAAACAACTCATCAGTTGGCGTAGTTTTGATATCTCTCACAAAAATCGAAATAATTAAGATCAAAGTGTACGTTGAGAGTAGCATTCAGTTATAACACTAACGATATTTGTAGTTAAATTCTGTGCAGAGAAAAGGAAACGATTTTTTTTTGAAAATTTGATTTTCATAGGAGTTCAAATATTCTTTGTTTCAATGTCACAAAATTTCAGAAAATTTTACTGTCAGTAAAAAATAATTTCAAAATTGAAAAAAATAGCAATGTTCACGTTTGCCTCAATATACTGTAACATTTATAAAAATTACTCAAACGCTTAAAACGACCTTTGATACCAATTTCCTCCTTTCTTTTCTTATCAATTACTATTATTTGCGTATAATGTAGCTCTAGCATCCGGCTCACTTTTTTGCATCAGGCAAACTTTCCTGTTTCCAGAAACTTCTCAGTCACACTTTTCTTTCATCACGATTCGGGGACTTTGTTTTTGTGTCTGTCGGGTTGTCAATGGCAATGTGACATATGACTAGAATATCTGGAAAACACCAAAATATGAAATAACGGAAATTAGAAAGTGTGTCAAAATATAAGAGAGCACGATGTGTTGTTTAATTTTTAGAAATTGACACAAAAATAAACGTCATCGGATATTCAATAAAAAGTTATAAATCGATGAGAGATCAGAAAATCAAGTCACACTTCTCAATACTTTTCTAAATCACAGAATATGCGAAACCCATTAGATCATCAAACCAATCTCTTAGGAAACAATTTAACTCTAAAAAAAGCGTGATGTAATTTGAAACTTTTTGGTATATTTGCTTTCCCCACGCAAAGAAAAAAACTTGAGAAAATCCCGGTAGGATAAGTCACTGTGTTTTCTTTCGCCTTTTGTTTTTTGACCAGTTGCAAGGCTTTCCCGCTATACAACTTATTTTTCTCAACCAGTTTTCAATCATAACATGACATTAATCTAATCTTAGTGCCGCCACTGGCTTGATTTCGTTGCTTAAATTGGTACTAAACCGGCAATTTTTCTTACTTCCTTTTCATAACCAGTGTGTACACATTTGCATTATATATACTGCTATAAAAAGGAAAAGCAATTTGTGGTCATCGAAGAATGGACAAAAAAGCGTTTTTCTTGGAATCCGCTTTTTTGGCATGTTCCTAGACAAACAAATATACTAAAAAGGTCAGCAAGTTGTACTAGTGAAGGGCAAGTCGTTTTAGGAAAAAGAAACTGAAGGAATTATTTTTTGAAGCTTCTTTTGTGAAAAAAATTTATACAATGGTAGGCTGGATGGACGACTGAAATAATTGAAATGGTTCTTGAGTTCTCTTAAGGTACATACTGATGAAAGAGACTTTGATGAGATGCTCGAAAGCTGAAACTATTTTGATACTCGTTGTTCAATCTTATTCAGAAATTGCTAGTTAATAATAATAATATTCCATGTCGTGGTACGAGTCCGACCTTTGAACAGTGCCGAAAAAGCAAGAAAAGCATTCCAATGTGTGTTTCCATTAGACAAGAAGGTAAAAAGAAGCCAAACTCGATGCAAAAATAGAAATAATAAGTTCAGAGGGTTTTATTGGTGGATCCGGAAAAGTTCGAGAACAATATTCTACGGCAAAATCGGCAACATGAGAGGAAATTCGAGTTCGATGCAGCTTTTGGAGCTGTGTCAAATCAAGTAAGACATCGGTTACCGTAAAAGCTGTGTTATAAGGTCCCAGTAACTTTCAACTTTGAGCCATCATATATCAGTTCTTGTGAAAAATATCACAAAGTTGTCAACTGATGGATATCAAAGTGTTTTGTCAGTTGAAAAATTTCGACATCTTGCATAGGAATTGAGATAATTCAACTCCAACTTGACAGTTTAGTGGCTTTCTATTACAGGTGTTACGGTAGCTGGAACTCGTATGAAGCAAAATAAATTACAGGAAGATGTTCATGAAACTACAACCGGGCCAATCATAGATTCAGTGGTTCAAGGGTTCAATGCAACTGTTTTTGCTTATGGGGCCACGGGTTCCGGAAAGACTTTCACTATGATTGGAACCAAGGAACGTCCCGGATTGATGACATTGATGACAAAAGCGTTGTATGAGAAATTGGATGGACAGTATCAAGTGTTACTATCCTATATGGTGAGTTTGAATTTATTGCAAACACTCTAGCAGAAGGCCACTATATGCACTTTGAGTACAATTATCTCAATTTATGTAAGAGATAACAAACATCTATCAACTTGTAAAATGATTATCATAACGTGGTCAACAGTTTATCAGTTAACATGTCTTCGATTCCTAATATAGAAATTGAGATTAATGGGCTAGAAATAGAAATATAATGTGACCTCCTATTTTATTGTTCACGGTAACCGCTAAACTTGGAAAATTTCGATTTCAGGAAATCTACAACGAAATCATACGAGACCTATTGAATCCAACTGGGGGTGATTTGGAGTTATTGGAAGATGAGCGAGGGAACATCCGAGTACCCGGATTGTCTTCAGTGAAGGCACCGAATCTTTCACGAGTAGGTCATCTAGCGAAAATTGGAAAACAGAAGACTGCTCCTTCGAATTGAAGTGGCAATCTTCTTCCTCTTCTTCCTCATCTTACTCCCACGGATACAATAATCCTCTTACTGATTCTTTGCCTCTGCTTGCAGATCATGCAAATATTGCAAGAAGGCAATCTACGACGCACTCAGGAAGCGACGATGGCGAATAAGACGAGCTCAAGGAGTCATGCGTTGCTTCAGGCAAGATTCAATCGGAGAAGACGAGGGGCGGGGAGGGACTGATTCACTTTTTTTACGAGTTCTATTTTTTGCGCATTCCAGATTCCTTCTGTCTAGGAAACAAATAAAAAACAGCATCAGAAAATGAGATCATAGATGACGAATAGGTAAACAGAAGGTTTAGAAATCCAAATCCAAGAGAGGGAGTTGAAAGACAAGACGGTTCAGATTTCCATTTTTCTCAAAATGAAAGTTGATACATGCATTCCAAAAATTAGAATGTATCGAGCCAGAAAAAAACGGGGGGACTTGCAGGTGATGATCGTAAAAAACCAATCTCTCCATAGCAAACTCTTCATGATAGACTTGGCTGGTTCGGAACGCGCACGAATACTCAAGTAAGATTGGAAAATCGTTTCTCAGTTCCCATTTTCAATTCTATTCCAGAATCGAGGAATACGTCTAAAAGAAGGAGCTGCAATAAATCGTTCTTTACTGGCACTTGGGAATGTCATCAATTCTTTGGCTTCAAGTAAGTTGAAAAAAGCTCTCGCATCCCAAAAAGTCAGATGAACCCTAGAATTATAGCTTGGGGGAAATGAAAAAATTGGAAACGAACTTTTAAGAATTATTTTTTTCAGAGACAACAAAGTATGTGAATTATCGGGATAGCAAACTGACAAGACTATTGAAGGATTCGCTTGGTAGAGCTCATGATTGATTAGGGACGGACATGATGAGATGATATCTATTTCAGGAGGAACTGCAAAGACATGTATGATAGCTCACGTGACGCCATCAAGCTCCAACTTCGAAGAGACATATAACACATTGATGTATGCTTCGCGAGCCATGAATATCACAAATAAAGTGCCGGAAATACCGTACACCTTTAATGAAAACTCTATTTTCAGCCTGTTCGTAATCGGCCGGCCTCCGCGGACCAAGTGTATGCTGAAGCGATGAATGCAATCAGGAAGGAAATGGGATCTCAAATCAAAAATTCGTCATCAATATCTGGATGTTAGTGTGGATCTCACGTTCTAGATTTAACTTGAAAATTTAAAGAAAAACAGAGAGAAAGTAATAATTGAGCATAAAAAGTAAATGAAAATTGAGCAAAAGATTCGAATTTTGTTGGCTTTCGAAAATTTGATTTTTTGGAATCTAAATCTGGAAAGTAGTCCAGTTTAAGAATTTTCAAAATCAAATTATCTCAGAAATTTATTGAATAAAACTTTTAGAATAAAATGAATCAAAATTTTCAGGAAATAAAAGAATATCATTGAAAATTTAAACCAAATTTTTTTACATTTACGGTAATTCACCTTCTCGGGACATTTTTGGACAAATTTTCAATTTTGATTTATCTCCTTTCCTGTGAAATATATCAAATATGACAAAATAGTCTTGATTAATGATAGAAAATTTGTCGGTTGACCACTTTTTTTGTATCTCTAACAGGCAGACATGAGCGGAATAAAATTTTTGAAAATCCGGAAAAAGGAATAAGGAATAAGGAACAAAAATTGAAAATCAGGAATAAGTAATAAGGAAGAAGGATTACAACTTTTAAAATCCTGAAGAAGGAATAAGGAATAAGGAATAGAAAAAACACCCGAAATAAGGAAGAAGGAATAAGGAATAAGGAACAGAATTTCAAAAAAAACCGTTTTTTTTTACATTTTCCGATAAAACACATGAAAGAGGTATTTAGGCTTCATTAAACGACCTTTTAAGTGGTAGTTTAGGTTTAGAAAGCGTTTTTCTGATTTTAAATTTTAAATTTGAAATTGATCGAATTATCCGGAAGAATGAGAAAAAATCAGGAATAAGGAATAAGCAATAAACATTAAAAAACCCGGAAGAAGGAATAAGGAATGAAGAAAAAAAAACGCCCGGAATAAGGAAGAAGGAATAAGGAATTCCGCTCATGTCTGCTAACAGGGAATGAGATATACCAGATTAAAGTTGACGAGTTCATATTTTTGCTATATGTTTTGTATTCTGATGATTATTTTGTCAGTAACCACTTTTTGAACTGTTTCATGAAAAACCAGAAAATCAGACTTGAAACTGTAAGTTACTGTTTTTCCAGTTTAAGTTTAACGGTGTCTCAAAAACCTAAAATTTGAACACTAAGAAATTCAAACAAAAGTTTTGAGTATATAATTATAATTTCGAGCCAGTTTCTAAATTTTTATTTTTACTATTTTCAGTAGCTGCTCGTAATGGCTTACCTGAACGAACTGGAAGTCGATCTCGTCCGAAATCAATCTCCCGAAACAGCAGCTTAACTCGAGCTCCTGCGGCTTTAACGACGGTAAGTTAAGACGAAAAAGCTGACAAGTGATCCCATATCTAAAATAAAAATTAGCTTAATTTGCAGATCGACCGTGGGCGTGGCGGCTCACTTTTCACACAGCTCAAGGAGCAATACATGACACTGTCCGATAAACAACGGAAATTGAGGTAATTTGAGTGTCATTATAAGGGGAAATATGAGTGAGAAGGAAAATTGATGCTAATATGTTTTTCAGAGAAAAATTGATGGCAATTAATCAAGAGGCTTACTCTCTCGAAATGTCCCTGATCTCCAAAAATGCCATCATCAATGCGTGGGAGAAGGCACATCAAGACAAAACAAACGATAGTGTGGAAAGGTTGAAACAGGATGGAGAATTACAGGTACGGTGGTCATTTTGGGTACATGGTGACCTAATCATAAAAAAATGTGTTGATATGATTGTAATCTGAAATTTTGATGATGAAATGTTAGCGCAAAAAAAAAACAGGAAATCAAAATAAGATCATCAACAATACATAGCCCTCATTGATTTGCGATGATCTGAAAATATTTTGTTCCGAAAAAAAAATGCTACGCAATCCAATTTGTTTTCAGCGAGTACGTCTTGTGGAACTATCTGATCAACGAACTAAAGTAGAGAAGGCGCTCCGGAAAGGGGATGAAAACGCGAGTGGGCTGAATCCCGGATGCGTAGTCTCGCTGCCACTAATGAGCAACGAGAAGTTGTTAAATTAATGGTGAAGATGGCGGAGATAGAGGCACAGAGTAGGCGTTTTTTCTCTATTTATAGACTTGTTTTTAGTTTAGCTATTGCATAAAAAATAATTTCCAGAAATTTCCGCCTTGTCCGACCTTGCCATCAAGGGATTGATCATGGATAGAACTGACACTTCCATCGCGAAATTGCAAAAATATGAGCTTGTCGCTGATAGGTTGATAGATGGGAAATTAGATGGTTTGCTAGGAAAAAGTTAGTGGCATTGAAATGAGAAATAAGTTTAGATGCTGACCGCAAGCAACTTGAAGAAGAATATCGCCTGATCAAAAACCAATTCCATTATCACCTGCTCCCTCTGAAAAACATTCAAACAACAGTATCATGGAATTCAATGTTGCTACCAAAAATCAATAACAACAACAACAATACAATAATCATGGAGGAGAGGTTTTTTAAAACATGAAACACAAATAGTACCGAAATTATTTTCAGACTGAACTCCGCTTCCAAAAAGAAATCTGAAATCTCACTACCCATCATAGCAAATGGTAGAGAAAAATATCCCACGTCTTCTGCAGAATCCACAACTGATGGTAAGGAAGAAAGGTGAACAAAATTTTAGATACCTAATTCAGATGATCGAGTCAACTCTCCGGTTACCGAACGTTTGCCAAATATATGACTTAATAATTTCACTAAATTTCACAACCATCTCTTTGTCCCCTGTTCTTTCATAATTTCATACTAGTAGCTTCTCTCTTTCGGTTTCTCTTTTCAGAATTTGTGATTTTTCTTTAACGAACAAAATCAAGAAATGAACAAAACAACTTTAATTCTGATGTTACATAAATGTGTCAAATAAAATGTTCTCTTTTTCG